GGATTAAAACCAAATTCTTTGGTCCAGTGTGTTCTCAAAGATACCTTTCTCTATCTTAGACTTGCCATTTACCCTTTCTTTTGAAAGACAGCTTAAAATGTACCATCAGGGTAATGTTCTCATACCTATTATCCATCTAATTTCTTATGATCAGACAATGCTTTCCTTATTTTTGACTTCTCTCCTACTACTGGGGCAATTGTGTTGAACACAAGAAGGCTCAAGGAACCGCTACACGAGGGGAATGTGAGCCAATGAAGTCCCTTGATTCTGGTTTCGCAGGGTGGTGATGCCATACTGGGTTTAATTCCAAACCTTTACCAGAACTATCTGAGGTGCTGGACTCCCATCTGCAAACTAAACTCAGCACCACGGAGAGCTCCTGTAAAGTGTGAATTAACACCTGGATTGGATTGTCTGCCCCAATGGAGCTGGAGTCATTGGCCTTGTATGGGCATCTGTAGATGTCATCGTCATACCTGCTAATCAAATTGCCTCAGGGCTTTGATCCTGCAAAATCTGGGTTCACTGCAGCTGTGCGGTTTGGGACTCTAAATCCCACAGTGAGCCAACACCATGAGGCTTACACACATATTTTGTGGATGAACTCTCCTTTGCCAAAATGTGACACTTGTAAATCCTAGATGAAGTGGAAAGAGGGATGTGACATAACTGTCTAAGAAGCAATTTTGGAGTGGGATGCCAAGAAGAGAAAGTGCCACCCCCATTAACGCTTGTGCCAGCCTTCCCCACAGTTTGGGCATGCTCCTCTTTGGACCATGCTTGCTGGAGGTTCCCAGGACTTATATCCAAAAAGTTCACTAGTTTCCTCAGCCTCTGACCACTCCCCCACCCCACCCCCAGAATGTTGTCAGAGAAGAACAAGCAGCTTATGGATTTTAATGCCCTCCGTCCAAAAATAATTTTAAGCATTGTGCAAAAGAAGACAAATCAAACAGAATGATCCAGGGCAGCTGCATCTGCAAATCTCTCCCCAACCTCCACCGCACCCAAAGCCTGCAAATGATTCTACCCATAATAAGTCAGATGAAGGAAATTGCCTTCCCTACAGAAAGATAACAGGAATTAATTAACGTACTGTTGAAATGCCGTATAAAGAAAGGTTGTGACCTCAGTTTGTGAGGAAGGGAACTGCCTGGTACCAAGATTAAGAGAGAGCATGATAGCGATCTTAAAATATCTGAAGGGCTATCAGGCAGAAGATAGTAAGGATTTGTTCTTTCTTGTTCCAAACCAGAGCTAGTCAAAGTGTAATTTAAAAAGAAAATAGAACTTCTTCAATCCGAACTCCAGCCAGCATGGTGACTGGTCATGCTCCTTGCGTGATCCCAGAAAGGAAAGAGGGAAAAAAGCAAAAAAAAAGCCAACTTTCCCCAAATCAGTTCCAGAGAATAGGATTAGATCTGGTAGATGTGGATGCAGATTTCAGCTGAATATAAAGAGAAACTTCCCAATGGGAAGAGACGAGGTGCTCTCCTTGCTGGAGGTATTTCTTTATGCTAGACCTGGATGATCATCTCTAAACAGGGCCAGCTCAGTTATTAGGCAGAGTGAAGCGACTGCCTCCAACTGCAGATGCTGGAAGGGTGGCAGCAATGGTGACTCCGTGGCTTTTCTTTCTCCGTCTCCTGCTTGTCCCATTTGGTTGGAGGACGAAGAGTGTTGTGCCCCAGAAGGTAACCGGCTGCCCTTAAATGTGGTAGGAAATGCCCCTCTGCCAATGCTGACACCAGGTGCAGCGAAGCAACCCGTCAGCATCCATCACCTCTTTCATTACAATCAGCAACATATTTTGGACTGTCCCATTCATCAGAGAGTTTGCAGCCGTAGGAATCTGCTCTGAAGGGAGAGCTGGACTTAATTACCTCCCGGCAATCTTCCTTCTAATTATCTGCCAGCACTGGGTGAGGCCCCCGCCCTGCGTGCGAGGGGTTCCGGCCGAGACTGGAACCAAATAAGCGGCAACACTGGCTGCAAGTGTGCGGCACGCATGCGGCACCGCATGGTTGTGCACCATGCAGTTAAGAGGGAGCATGGGCTCTGGGGTTATCTCCAAGAGCTCTTAAATGCTGAACTTGAAAATTCTATGATATTTGGCAGTATCAAATTCTATGATGCCATGCCATGTCACCAGAACAGAACTTTTGGCTGACCTTGTGATGGTAGCTTAAATGTGTCAACAGGCTTCTTTGGGGATTACGTAGTATAGGATCTGACCTTAGGCAGGGTTCGATTTGGCTGACCTTGTGATGGTAGCTTAAATATGTCAACAGGCTTCTTTGGAGACTACATAGTACAGTGGTGCCTCACTTGACGAGGATAATCCGTTCCAGTGAAATCGCTGTAGAGCAAAATCCTCGTCAAGCGAAATAAAAAAGCCCATTGAAATGCATTGAAAACCGGTTCAATGCGTTCCAATGGGCTAAATACCTAATCGCCCAGCGAAGATCCTCCATAAGGCAGCCATTTTCAGGTGCCTGTAAAGTGAAAAATCCATCCTAAAAACAGCGGGGAGCCATTTTGCACAGCAGGAGGCCATCTTGAGAGCCACCGATCACCTGTTTTAAAACCATCATTAAACGAAAAATCAGTTTCCAGAGCAGGGAATTGATCATCGTCAAGCGATTTTCTCCCATTAAAACATTGTTTCGCGATCGCAAAAGCTATCACAAAAAACTCATCATCAAGCAGATTCATCGTTTAATGAGGTAATTGTTAAGCGAGGCACCATTGTATAGGATCTGACCTTAGGCAGGGTTGAGGCTAAACTATATGTTGCAGGCAGCACATTAGAAGCTGAAATCATCTCGCTATCAGCATCACAGAGATATGGTTCTGGCAGATAGCCCATCAGGCTTGCAAATGAAGCCTGTTTGCCTCCTGATGACCAACTACAAATGGAGAAAGCTAATTTACAAACCTCAGAAGATGTCAAAAGCCGATGGTGTCCAATCAGACATCTTTCAGCCTTAAAAACCATCCTAAAAACAGCGGGGAGCCATTTTGCACAGCAGGAGGCCATCTTGAGAGCCACCGATCACCTGTTTTAAAACCATCATTAAACGAAAAATCAGTTTCCAGAGCAGGGAATTGATCATCGTCAAGCGATTTTCTCCCATTAAAACATTGTTTCGCGATCGCAAAAGCTATCACAAAAAACTCATCATCAAGCAGATTCATCGTTTAATGAGGTAATTGTTAAGCGAGGCACCATTGTATAGGATCTGACCTTAGGCAGGGTTGAGGCTAAACTATATGTTGCAGGCAGCACATTAGAAGCTGAAATCATGTCACTTTCAGCATCACATAGATATGGTTCTGGCAGATAGCCCATCAGACTTGCAAATGAATCCTGATGACCAACTACAAACGGAGAAATCTAATTTACAAACCTCAGAAGATGTTAAAAGCCGATGATATCCAATCAGACATCTTTCAGCCTTAAAGAATTTCCTCTTCCAATGATGTGCTATCTGTAAGTTAGTCTGGTCTTCAGATCACTGGTCTGTCTAGAACAGTGCTGTCTACTCTCCTTGGCAGGAGTTCTCCGGGGTAGGGGTGGGGGGGGACATTGTCAAGCAAAGAAGTGTCTTTCCTGTCCCTGCTGTCTGATAGGAAGAACCTGCACAAGTTAGTTTTTTGGGCTACAACTCCCATAACACCCCCAGCCAACAAGATTCTAGGAACTGTAGTGAAAGAAAGTCACTTATCCAATCTTTGTTAATGAGTTTCTCTAATAGGCAAAGCCAGAGAATGAATGTGTCAGCCTCTGTCTTCTCCGTGAGCCAGGATTTGCAAAGCAGTCCCATATTCTAGATTCTCTTCTATCAGATCTGCTTTGATTTCAATTCCTGCATAGGTGGTGGGGGCTGTTTAGAGATCATGGCGTATTAGGCCCCTTCCAACTCAATTATCCGTCAATTCTATGATTCTATTTCTGCTTTGAAAATGGAAGTTAATCTCATTGAATTCAACGGGGCCTACTCTTGTGCACATGGGTGCAGAATTCTAACCATTTTCTTACCACCATTTCCCACTTGTTCTCTAAGGAGTTCAAAATGGTGTAAATGCCTCTCCCCTTCCCCATTTTATCACCAACAACCTTGCAAAGTAGACTAGGCTGAGAAATGCCAATCAAACTAAGGCCACCCACATGAATTTCAGGATTCAAAACACAGGATGGTGATCTAGGAGCTGTTCTCTTTCTATCTCTAAATCAAACAAGATGGATTTCTAAACTCAAACCAAATCACATCCACATGGTCATTTGCAACGAAAGCTTTATTTTTACAGAATATTACACTCAGATTACTGGCACATTTGCAAAACACTCCATAAACATTCAGAAGAGAGGAGAAATGGCTTTTCTGTGATTCTTTCCTCTTGCCAGGCAAAATACAAATAATCTGAAAACTGGCTAACTTCACAGGTCTAAAATGTACGATTATGATGACGTTGGGGATTTCTCGATCCTTCCTCACCCTTTGGTGAAATAAGGAAAAGTCCTGACCCCTGAATTACTACCGAGAGATTCACGTCGGCTCTGTTTAAGCAATGAAAACACCAAGACTGAGAGTGGGTGGGGAGAAACCCTGTTAAACGTATCTTGAGTTTTTTTCATCTCCTTGTTCCAGTCATGACCCAGTCTTTCATGAGGGGATTTTTTTTTAAAACCACCCGTCTCAGTCCCCCTCCTCCTTTGTTCTCATCAGCTGTTGAAACAGGGCAAAGTCACTTTGAACCGAGTTCCATAAAGCTGGGGGGCGGAGGTGGAGAGGGAGAAAAAGAGCTCAATGAAAAGAAAGAGGGTCGTGGATGTGGTGGATACAGCTCCCTGCAGCTCAGCCCAAAAGCAGTTTTTAAAATCTGGCCGTCAAAGTGGAACAACTGCCGGACATATGCTTCTAAGTACCTCTTAGGGTTAAATCTGCAAGGATTTTCAATATAGACAGATATAAACATATATCTCTATTCTCTAGTTTTGTCCTGTTTGAAAGAAGAAAAGGCAATGTCTTCCCAAGGGTTGGCGAATGAGGACGCATCCCTCAGTGGCAACTTTGCTTATGATGATAACTGGTACATGTACGGACCAATCGGAGACCAAGATGAGTGAGTATTAAAACGTTTGTGTCCCGGGTGTGATGTGTAGGTTGGATGGGAAGCGGAGGTTCCTTCCACCTCCTAGCGCTCAAATAACTTTCTCCCTAAAACTCCTCTTGAAACATTTGCAAAACATTTTTTAATACTCTCATGTTTGCTAAATTTGGGGCTTCTGTGTCCAAAAAACGGTACATGATTGGGTTTTCAGAGTGGTTTTCAATGATCCATCAGAATGTTTCTTGGGTCGCATGCAATGGCATTTTACTAGAGTTAACAGGAGAAATGGAACGGGATGAAGTCTTTATAGGACACACATCGTGAACGCTTCCTACGTAATCTTGACAGTTTCTGGTCTTCCTGTTTTATGGCTGCCAAAAATAGTCTATAGATCTCAGTTACTCAAAACTCTGAGGAAATCTGATGAATTTTAATGTTTGCAGGCATTTGCTTTAGCTCTAGCTGCTGTCCTCATTTCCCAGCAAAACATTAATGCTCCAGCTCTCCCATTTCATTCCTTCTTGGTCAAGACTCATTTTTTTCTCTTCTATCTGATGTATGTTTTAATGTGGTTCAGGGGGAAAAGTTATCTTTATAGCAAGTAATGCACTAATGAGACCAGTACAGGTAGAACTATTGATAGTATATGCAGTTAGAACGGAACAGAAAAGTTCTTCTACAGCATTTTCTCTCTCAAATCCAGACTGGTGCCAGGATTTTTTTTGCAACCACTCTTGCCCCCCCATCATCATCATCATCATCAACAACAACAACAGTAGCAACATCAATGATGTTGTGTTGTTGTTGTTTTTTGGCTGCTGCCAGGTAAATAACCTGCCAGGTTATTATGCTTATTCTACCTGTTGCTTTCCAGTCCCATTTACTGAGTACTTCTCGCTAGAAAATGCAGAGTGAGAGCTGGGATCAATGTTTTGCATTCATTCCCTCACTCTGAATTTGCTTCAAGATAATTTTGTTGCAACCACAATGCCAATTTGCCCTTTCTTTGTCCCTCATTAACTTAAATGCCCTGTCTAAAATAAAAACAAACAAAAACAGACTTCCAAGACAGATGTTAAGAACATCTCAGCTTGGCTGTAATTGCAAACTAACTAAAATGGCTATTAACATATATAATTGGTTTAGCAAAGCTCATAGACAATGAAAGAGAAAGATATTCCGAGTGCAGATAATCTTTGGAAGTAGTGGTGGGACAAGAATATGTATCCTAAATTGTACATTATTTGATTTTGAAATCTGGTTTTCAAATTCTATTTTACTTATAGAATATAATTAAAGGACTTATTTCAGGGAAACTGGATTGCTCAAGAACTCAGCTGTCTAGGGCTACTAGTAGGCAGAATAAAGCAACCACTTCATATCAGTGGGGGAGTGGTAAGGGAGAGAGACAAAGGGTGGAAGGGAACCAGCTGTTGCAGGAGAGAATAGCGAATTGCTATCCAACCTGTCCTGGAGCAGCTAATCTAAATTGTAGCCTTCTAGTCCAGGGAAATATTCTTTCCCATTGCCAGTCACTACTCCAGTTGCCATTTGTATATTAAATGGGGGTGGGATGAGGTGGGGGTGACACTGCACACCTTCAAGAACTAAACAACTTGGGCTGGCCTTGATAATACCAGTTAAGCGAGTTCTTGCAACTCTGTTTTCTTTCTCTCCCCACATTTACAGGTTGGGGGGAAAGGGTTCTGCAAATAATTTCTGGAGTGGCTCAGACTAAATAACTCCTATAACAAGTCCTCCTTCACACAGCACATAGTTAAACAAGGTAAATCACACTGTCAAAGGATAGGGTGATGGCCACCCACTTGGGTAGTGTTAAAAGGAGATTGGGTACATTCAAGGAGGTTAAGGCTAGCCTACTGATGGCCTCCAGCATCCCAGGCAGGACACATCTGAGTAGTATAGTCATTATTTTCTTAGTTCATTCCTCTTGTGCAACACCTACTGTAGTTGTGCCAACAGTTGAACTGGCACAAGGAGGTTCCACTGCCTCCTAGCACATGTGTACAGCCCCATTCTGTTCAGTGGGGTGATCTCCACTTTCCATCACAACACGTCAGAGGTTGTACTGAGCCCCCCCCCCCCGTGGTTTTTTTATGCCTGACCATCAGTATTCAGTTTAGAAAATATGGAATGGAATGCGTTCCTCTTCTTCTAATAGGTTCCCTTTGCACAGACAGTCTGGTGCTACCTGCCAGAGCAGGGAAGGCCATTTGCATGAATCCCTTTCTGCTCCCAAAAGGAAACTGGCCCATGGTTCTATTTATTTATTTTATTTATTTATTAAATTTATACCCCGCCCCTCTAGACCATGTCTAGAGGATACTGGCCCTACATGCTGGGGAAGACCAGCTGATGGGTTTCCCATTGGAGCATTTGGTTGGCCACTGTGGCAACCAAATCCTGAACTAGACAGCCCTTTAGGTCTGATCCAGCAACATGCTTCTTATGTTCTTATGGTGTCAGCGCTAGAATGAGCTTTAGTTAGTCCTCTTTGGTTTTAAGTAGGTCAGCTTCTTAATGTGTTCTCTTGCCCCATTGTGACACTGTGTCCCATAATAACCTTTGAACAATGTAGCCTTGGGACAATCTCTTACACACACGCGCGCGCACACACACACACACACACACACAGCAACTTTAGCCCGAACCTTAGAAATGTCTCTTTCTTTGGACTCCAAATTCCAGAATTGCCAGCTAGCAGGGCTGGTGGAGGATTCTGGGTATTGTAGTTCTCAGAAAGGAGTTTTGCCAGCTGTACACAGAAAGCTATACTTTTGAAGCAAAAGAACTTAGGTCAGCACATGCTTTGAATAGCCAAGGTACAGTGTTATGCTCTCCTGGCCTAGCTAATGCCCTGAAAAAATGGGAATTGGGACACGTTTGAGGAGTAGAGTTCTTCTGCGTTGTCTTGTCAGTTCTCATGGGGTATTGGCTAGGTTAGAGGTGCTACAGGAGTCCAGACTCCCACTGTGCTAACTCTAGCATGCTTGCCACGGTATCTTCCCCTCCAGAATGTCCCAGAAAGCTGCATGACATGAACTGGAATCTCCCTTGTTCCTCTGTGCATCTCTTTCCAGACCTTGGGGAAGATTTTTTTTTTTTAAATAACTCCTAAGGATTCTTTAGGCATCTGGGAGTTGTGATAACTTTGCCACATTCTTTTCATTTCAGACCAAACAAAAATGAAAAATTAATAAAGAGAGAATGCAAGCAGTTTGACTTGGGGGCGATCCAGGGTCAGGCAAAAGGCAGATGGGCTGTATAAAAGGCTTTGAGTTGTTTTAATGAATGCGGCAGCTTCTCTTGTAGCAACATGTTATTTTTTGGACTGGAATACCAAATTTGTAGTTTGAGAGGGCAATGAAAGAGGGCGCGATGCCCATCCCAAGGCCCCTCTTGCTTGGAAGTAGAATTATCCTCCACAGGCATCAAAAGGATAATATTATTCCTTCAGTTTTTTTAATGTTTCTCCCTGGGAGGATGAATCACTTCCTGCTGAGGAGAAAAGGGTAAAATCACAGAAAACTACAAAAGCAAAATGTTTTGTTTTCTAAAACATTAGCACATTTCAACTTGGTGATGCGTGTTGTGAGCTCTCTTTTTTTTAAGATTCTAGATGGAAGTCCCGTCTACATGGGAGTCTCCCAAAGGTTTGCTGATGTCTTGTTTGTCACGAAAAGTTGGCACAGGAAGGCTGCTAATTTGAGTGTGAAGCAGGAGAAACAGCTTAATTCCCTTCTCTGGCTATCTTCTTGCTCAGAATTCCCCCCCCCAGCTGCTTTTTCCAGCAGAGACACATGGCCTAAAGTCCTGTTGTGTAGCTTCGCTTGCATAAGGAGGAGGATGTCAGCAACAGCAGCAAATTGCCCCTTAATAGAGGCTTCCTCTGGGGATTTTGGGGCACATGCCACTTTGTTGCACAAACCCTGAAATTGCCTTTAATCAGTGGCACTTTGCCGCTGGTGATGACATAATCACTCCTATGTATGCAGAGCTGCGCAATAGGATTGCAGCCAAGAGAATGAAAAGTAGAAATCTTCTTCCTCCTCCTCCTGAACTGCCGGATAACTCAGTAGTTTAGGCATCTGGATGCAGAGCCAAAGGTTGGGAGTTCAATTATCTAGTGATGAGCCTCCTTGACAGGGACTGGACTTGATCACGAGGGTCCCCTCCAGCTCCTCAGTTATAAAATTCTTCCTCTTCCTGTAAGTAGAAAATGACCACCTTGACAGGGACTGGACTTGATGATCACGAGGGTCCCTTCCAGCTCCCCAGTTATAAAATTCTTCCTGTAAGTAGAAAATGGCTGATTGAAAAGAGCAAACCAGCATTTCCTTTCACCTGACATCTAAAAATCTTTTAGTTAAAATATTTTAACTACCATGGTTCTGTCCTACTGAATCCAGTGATTTGTGGTTTGTTGAAGTACAGTGGTGCCCCGCATAGCGATGTTAATCCGTTCCAGGATTAACGTCACTATCCGGAAACATTGCTATACGGAACGTAAAACCCCATAGGAACGCATTAAACTCAGTTTAATGCGTTCCTATGGGGGGAAACTCACTGGTAAGCGAAGATTCCCCATCCGGGCGCCATTTTCACCGCCTCAGTAAGTGCTCACCGGTAAGCAAAGATTCCCCATCTGGGCGCCATTTTTGCCGCCTCGGTAAGTAAGGGTAGGGCACGAAAACGCTGCGGGCAGCCATTTTCTGCACCCGGTGGCCATTTTGGAACCGCCGATCTGCTGTTTTCTAAACATCGCAATGCAGAGATTGGTAAGTGAAACGCTTACCAATCATCGCAATGCGATGTTTTGCCACCTAAAACATCACAATGCGATCGCAAAAAACGCATCACTATGCAGATTCGTCGTTAAGCGAGGCACCACTGTACTCTGAATTCTTTGTTGTAATTCTAGAGTTCTCTAGCAAGGATTCTAATTATTTCTCTCAACTATGAATCCCAGGATAGCCAGAATCTATTGGTTG